AGAGGTTTTTTTAATGAACGTTAACTGAGATATGGGCTTTTAAAGAGCATGGTGAAATTTGCCAAAAAACACTTAAAATCAAAATAACTCGAAAACGAAAAACGCTAGGTACCAATAACTTTTATGAAAGTCAACATATTTTTTTACGTACAATTAAAAGGTGCAATAAAAACTATAGCATTCCATTTAAAATAACGAAGTTATGGTCTATTTCCGGTAGACCGGAAGTGACAGCCATCTTGAAAATATTTTAGATCGAAAGTTCCGACTATTGGAATCTAAAAAAGTTCTAACGAACCAGTTACGTGAGACACCCTGTATTTCTTGCACTTGCGTTGAAAGTATGGTAGGTTTTTTAGTTACTTTTTGTGTTGCCAACTGTAAAATATAACGACATAACGGGTTTTGTTGGTTTGTTTGTATACAGGGTGTTATTATAGGCTATCCCTGAAACCATAAGAGATATATATTTTCAGCAACTTATCCCTGTTAAGTGTATCTGTTTGCTACATAATATTGTTATTGATAGAGAAAGCATTAACCATCATGTTCAAGAAACAAGCACAACTAAAGCAAGAAATATCACCACAAGTAATACTGGAAGACCAAAAGAATCTGCTGAAAATATTTAAAACGTATCTTTGTTGCAATCCAATTTAAATGCTGTTACTATTGGAGATATAGAATTATATATACAAATTTGAAAAAAAGTTTCTATCAACTCACCCTCTAAAATGCACCATTTTCGATATACAGGGTGTTTAAATTTACAAAAAACAGCATTTGTAAGCATTTTCTACACATAAGCTAAGTTTTTTGCGAGAAAAAAATTTTTAAAGTCATAATTGGTGAAAATTTTGAAGGGGTAGTGGTTGTTTTTCTCCCCAACCTCTACGCCACTGGAAAAGGTACGGTTTTGAGACGCCCATTTGAACCGCCAATGTTTTCTACACAAAAAAGGTACCGTAGGTCATGAGCTCTAAGGTTGACCGTTTTCTAGAAAAAATCAACTTTTATATAAGTACGAAGGCTTTCACGGCCGGTGTGAATTAAACTAAGATTAGAACTAAAACTAGAACTAACACTAGAAACTTTCGGGTTTTGCCGTGCGTCTTTTAATAAAAGGTTGACGTTTCGGATGCCATGTTGCAACCTTCTTCAGAAACTGGTTCGAAGTGAACCTTTTATTAAAAGACGCACGGCAAAACCCGAAAGTTTCTAGTGTTAGTTCTAGTTTTAGTTCTAATCTTAGTTTAATCAACTTTTATGTTGCAAAATATGATCAATTTTTTTAAATAAAAATTTTATTTTACAATTAAACAAAATTTATGTAAACGTTAGAACAAGTAACAAAAGCAAGCGTTAATTTCATAATTGCAAAATAAAAAAAATGATACAAAAGTTATCTTTTCAAAATGCTCCAAACCGTAAAGATAACTTATTTCGTACATTTCAGCGTTTGTGTAAAAATTGTATAATTTATTTTTAACAAGTAGGCTTTAAATTTTTATAACAAAAGCTACCTCTTGTCAAAATATTAAGAAAGACATCCTGATCGCCCAGTACCACACCATAACTTGTTTCTAAGCATTCACCAACGACTATGGGAAAATGGAAGTTTTAAAAGGAATACTGCTGATAATCGGCGGCCTATGGACGTTGCAAATCCCCAAATAGAAGAGGCAGTCCTCAAAGAAATTGATGAAAATCCGACCACAACTACCAGAAAAATTGCTTATAACTTAAACTTATCTCAGTCGACGGTTTGGAGAATTTTGACATTAATATACAGGCTGTATCTGAATGACTGCAACAAACTTCAAGAGGTGATTCTTTAGTGAATTTTAAGGGTACTTTGATATATGAACCATGGGCGACTTCGGCTCCCCTAAGGAGCTACACCCCTCCAAAGATNAGAATTTTATTTCTTGCGATAAAAAATTGTTAGTGGAATTAGTTATGGAACGAAAATCAGTAATAGAAAATCAAACGAAATAAAATATCCACAAACATGGTAAAGAAACAAGCATGGGATGAACAGTTTAATCAAAATTCGCAATCTTTTAACACACATCACTGTCATTAATCACACTTATCGAGTCGATATCGGCTTGTTGCATGCGATATAGTTATCGATCCGATATCTCCTATCGATCCTTTCAGAAACCCAAATGACCGATATCGCCATAGTTATCGATCAACAGCGCGATATCGGTTCGATATCGACATGCATTTTCGTACGAGAAACCGGCCATTAATATTGCAACGTTTCATAAACTATAGATTAATCCTGATAAGTCTGCGTGTATGTTTCGGGGAAGGGCAGGGGGTCACAGGGCTGAACTTGGATCTTGATATTAATATAAATGGTTCAAGAATCATGCCCGGTTTCTCGTACATTATAATATCGAATAGATATCGGAGCAATAGTTATCGGATCGATATCTTTTGACGGCGTGGCCGGTTTCTCGTACGAAAATGCATGTAGATATCGAACCGATATTGCGCTGTTGATCGATAACTATGGCGATATCGGTCATTTGGGTTTCTGAAAGGGTCGATAGGAGANTCTAGACAAAAATTGAACGGGGGTGGTTATGTTTAGTAACTTAGAAGGGAAGATTGAAAGTACAAATAGGCTCGAAACATGCCCTATTATAAGCTAAACATATTTCCCAAATTTCATTTTCTTGGTGTTAATGGTTTTCGGGAAAAATAAAATAAACCAAAATTTTTCGCCATTTTTGAAGGGGCGTAGCTCCGCAGGGGAGTCGAAATCGCTGATAGTTTATATGAGAAAGTACCCTTAAACTTGCCTAAAGAATCACCCCCTGAAGTTTGGGCACGTCATTCAGATACACCCTGTATAAAGGAAAGGTTTTAATGTAAAAACCTACATAATATTTATGGGCCTATAAGTATAATCTCGCGTGTTTTTAACGCGATTTTTTTATCGCACTTCTTGTTTGTTACAAAAAAAAAAATTTTCTGGGCCATTTTACAATGTTACAGGATGTTTCAAAATTTTTTTAAAAATAATTTCATCCCTAACATTTTTAGGTACGTTATGATTAGGGCACGGAACTTTTGTAACAAAACGATACGATTTCCCCCCTCCACTCGTTCTCAGCAGAAAATTTCATTACAAAAGTTGTTCTAAATTAAATTGTAAAACGATTTTCTCAATAAAAAAAGTATATAAAAATATACAGGGTGATTTATAACATACGGAGCAGATTAAAAAGGTAGGTACTAGGGGCCAAACTGAAGATATTTTCTTAATAATGTTTTGACTACAACGTAATAATTACAAAGATATAGAACGTTAAAGTTAAATTAATGGTCGAGCATTTCTTACGATATACGGTATTACACTACGTTTAAATTCAAAATGCGAATATTTCGGGGTTACTTAAACAATGCATAATTAGCACCAATAATAACATCTTTGTAATATGGCAGTTACTGCTATTTAAAAATTTGTTAAAATGCTCAAAAACTGGTGTTTGTTTGTTGAGAACCGCTGATCCATGTTTTCATTGCTGCCAATCCAGTTAATTTGGTTNAATTAGTTATGGAACGAAAATCAGTAATAGAAAATCAAACGAAATAAAATATCCACAAACATGGTAAAGAAACAAGCATGGGATGAACAGTTTAATCAAAATTCGCAATCTTTTAACACACATCACTGTCATTAATCACACTTATCGAGTCGATATCGGTGCTTGTTGCATGCGATATAGTTATCGATCCGATATCTCCTATCGACCCTTTCAGAAACCCAAATGACCGATATCGCCATAGTTGTCGATCAACAACGCGATATCGATTCGATATCGACATGCATTTTCGTACGAGAAACCGGCCATTAATGTTGTTAAGGAAGCAAAATGCCTTGGTTTAACAATAGATAACACCTTCAGATTTAAAATTGAAAATTCATGTTTGAGAAAACTTTATCCTCACCGATCCGTTCTTTCGATAAAATTAAAAAAACAGTTATGTGATTCTCTTGTGCTGTCTCACTTCAACTTTATGGCGTCTGTGTATCATCCAGCTATAGATGGAAGTATACAAACTTAAAGATGTTGGGTAACACAGAATGGATACCCGCCGAGAGTTGCACAGTTTGGTTTTGTTTCATAACATCGTCACAACACATACCGACATATTTGTATGAGAAAATTATTTGTAAAAGGACAAACAATGCTCTACAGATGAGATTAAAATATGGTATATTCCATGGCACATTAGGTTAAATATCGATATACAGGGTGTATCTGAATGACTGCAACAAACTTCAACTTTAGTGAATTTTAAGGGTACTTTGATATATGAACTATGGGCGACTTCGGCTCCCTTCAAGAGCTACACCCCTCCAGAAATGGCGGAAAATTTTGGTTTATTTTATTTTTTTTCTCAAAAACCATAAACGCTAGGAAAATGAAATTTGGGGAATATGTTTAACTCATAATAGGGCACGTTTTGACCCTATTTGTACTTTCAACCTATCCTTCCTCAAAGTACCCTTAAAATTCACTAAAGAATCACCCCTTGAAGTTTGTTGCAGTCATTCAGATACACCCTGTATAATATGTGTGCATTTTTCAAAAAACCCTAATTTTCTCCCAAACTATTAAATTTTAGGTATGTGTGCAAAAAGTAAAGTTATTCATATACCTTGAAAACAGACAAATCTAAATATATAAAAATATACAGGGTGTTCTATTTAAAAAAATAAAGTAGGTGGCGACTTCCGGTGTATAAGTGCTAGAAATCTGAAAATATTTTAGTCGAAGAGAACGCTATCAATATACTTAAATCTGAAATCTCAAATTTTGTATTGTGGTCAGAAACGTCACGCTGAGACACGTCGAAACTTTAAAGTGATTTTTCGGTAAGTTTAACACTTTTTTTGACTGATTTTCCGTCGATTAAAAAAAAATTTACACTTTTTAAGCCACATGATAATTCTTGAATTATACCAAAACGAATTATTAATGAAGTTGTGGCTTTAATTGTTGCGTAATTAATTAATAATGTTTGTAGCTAGCTTAAAAATGCTTCGTTTAATCTAATATTTCTTAACAATACTAAAATATGTTTTCAGTTTTTGGGTGTATGGTTGACGATAAGGTATCGCAATCAAAAAGACCCTCGTGGAAATCCTAGCGCTTTCCTCTAGTCACATGAACGCTTTGTGTTAACATAAAAAGAAAAAAAAGATATAAGAAACCTCTTTTGGGTGGGTTTGGTAACTTTATAACTATTCTATTTTATTTATACTAATTTCTCTTGTTTAATCAAACTTTTTTTAACATTATTAATTTATTTTTTTGTTCGTTTTCGTTTCTTTGTAGATCTGTGTATAGTTTTTGGGTTATTTTTACTAAAATTTTTAACATTTTGTTATGGTTTAAATTTAAATAATTAATGATTAAAATTCGCAGATTGTCGGTGTGGTTTTAACGAAAAGATATCGGAATCAATACGATCCTGAAGAAAAATTAGCAACGGCCGTTTTTCCTAAACATAACTTTACATATTAACGAATTTCAAAACAAATTATCTTTAATTTGAGTTTAAATTCGTGGTTAGAATATGTTTTTGTTCACTATTAACCATGCCAAAGTCTTCGTTTAAGCTTATTTAAGCTAATTTATTGCCAAAACTTTTTAGGTTAGAATCTCCTTTATTATTTTTTTTTTGCTCTAATTAAAGACATTTTTATGAATTAATAATTAATAAATAATAATTGTTGTGGTATATCATTCCAGTAAAGACAAAAATAATAAAATATGATGTAATTAATGATGAATAATGGATGTTTAAGACGTAATCTTTTTAAGTAAGTATAAAATAAGACTGTGTGTGCCCTTGTTAGATTAAATAATTACGATATCTAACGAAAAACGAAAAGATTCTTTTTAATTTTAGTTGCTATATCATCCAATCTAAAATTATCTGCAATTGGATTCTTGAAGCAATTTTATTTGTTGTTGTGATCCTAGATAAAGTTTTTAGATAGCTTACGTAATAATATCGTTTAAGTGTTTTAATGTGTAAATATTGCGGGGTAAAAATCCATTGCAAAAGCTTGTGATTAATTTCTCAGTGAAAAGGTTTTTAAATCAGCTTTGTTTAAATCAACTTGTGCTATCGATCAACTTATTTAAATTAATTTATTTTTAATTTAAGGGTTTTAATGATAATAAATATAAAATTGAGCCTGTATATTTCTTTTTAAATCCATCTTTATCCATCATTATTAATTAATAAAAGAAAATTATTGTTATTTACGTAAAAATTGAGTAAATAAAATATTATTTAATTCTTAAATCGTTTAAACTTATTTTTTGTAGGATACAAACAAATTTTAATCCGAATTTGGTACTAAAATATAATATTCTAAATCCGTATTCGAACACCATCCGAAATATTAGAAAATTACTCAAGAATTGTAGAAATTTCAAATATTTTTGATGATTTATTTCACTTAGGCCCACTTTTACCACCTCTTGATAAATTTATCCGATAGATAAATCCAGCTCTTAGGCCCATTACTACCAAACCAATGCTATCTGTCAGTTAAGCTATCTATAAGATACAATTTATCTCGTAGATAACAGGGTCGTGCGTACTACCACCTCCATTTATCTCATAGCTAAGAAATCCTTGAGATAACCAAGGAATCTAGGGATCTTTTGGTCTATTATGTTAAATTGACAGCTCTATGTGGTTAAAAGACCTACAATTAGGTATTTTGACGATATTCTAACCTTAAAATTAAAATTTGGAAATGGAGACTGAGAAAAGCCGATGAATCTTCTTGAATTTGTTATCAAACATGAAAACGTAATAGAAAACAACAAGAGTGATGCAGTTACATGGCAAGTATGTATATAAACAATAATGACACAACTAACATGATAAACGACTGAAGATGCCAATTGTACACTCATTCCTGCAAAATCTGCTATGGATAGCTACATGTTACCTATTGCATAAAACCGAAAAGTCAGCAATAAACGGTTTGAAGGAGGTACAGTCGTGTTCACTGGAAATGCGCATTCAAGGTCAAGATCTGTTGTGAGATCTGACACGCCGCTGGGTAAACAGGCTGAACCGAGCGCTCACGAAGCTCGTGGAGAAGGGACTTGTGGTGGTCCTGCTTAGCCAGCGGCATGTCGGATCTCACAACAGTGTTTGACCTTGAGTGCGCATTTGCCGTGAACACGACTGTACAGCATTATTACTAAAATTTTGATGAATTTTAGTGCCCACGGGTTACAGATATTTCAAAAGTTATCCCTTCGATAGCGGTATCTATAAGATAAATACAGTGGTAGTAACCAATTTTTAAGTTATCCGATAGATAACGCTATCAGAGACTTTAACTATGAGTGGTAGTAGTGGGCCTTAGGTCCATTACTACCATCTTTTAGTTAAATTTATCTTATGGACAAATCCATCTACTAGCCAATCAGAGCGCGTAAAACCGTGGTAATAATCCCTTAGATAGCTTAACCAGAAGATGGTAGTAACGAGCCTTAGGGCCGGTTTATCAATATCTAGTTAAGACGATTTATCTGTCAATTAAAATTGTAGCTGATAGATAACGTCGACGAATCGTTTATCCACCCGTAGTTTAGGGTAATCTTATAGATAAATATGACATTTGGATACCCACCAGATTGAAGTACTGGTTAAGGGTTTACCTATTAGATATTGTCAAAAAAATGTGAGCACAAGTTTGATTGCTTGGTGAAAGTAAATGACAATAAAATCAAAATATAACGTCAAAAATAAATTAAGCTTATAATTGTGGTGATGGATAAGCAAGAGAAAGAAAAGATTATCAAATTTTGGTACAGCAGAAAAGAGCTTGCTGATGGATTTGTCAAATGAATATAAAAATGTTATAGAAAATTAATCTAATACAGTATAATCTCGTCTCAATTTTAACCAAGATTGACAAAACTGTGTCTTTTTTTAACCGAAATCTAACAAAAAAAATGTGGTCGTCCAACTCCTCAAAGTGGTTTTGACTTTTGTCTTTCTTTTATAATATATGGTCGTCGTTTATAATTTAAGAGTTGGACAATATCCTCATCTTTATCGCTGTCTAATAAATATTCATGTAGGAATTCCATTATAAAAAAGTTTTTCGAAAACAAAGCACACGGGAATGATAACCTCCAAAACATCAGCTGTTTATATCAACTTCACAAACTAAAGTCAATTATTCAAATTTCACCAATTACGTTTCATTTCCGTTTCTAATGTTAACACTCAGGGGTACCATCTATGTTCTATCTTGTAGGTTGCTGCCTGTCGGGTAGAAAGTTACTGGATAAACGTTAGGCAAGTTTATCCATGAGTTGCGTATCTGGCAGATTTAACTCGACATTGATAAACCAGCCCTTAGCCAATGAGAGTGCTTAAAACCGCCGTAACCATGGCAACTATCCTCTAGATAGTTTATCAGGAGGATGGTAAAAGTGGGCCTTAGGCCTAGTTAAAGTCGCTGATAGCGTTATCTATCGGATAGCGTAAAAATTGGTTACTACCATTGTATTTATCTTATAGATACCACTATCCAGGGGATAACTTTTGAAATATCTGTAACCCGTGGATTGGGTGTCGGATAAGTTGCTATCTACGAGATAACTGCGGATACTTAACCTCAAATAGAATTTAGAACGTTTTACTATTTCAGTTAAAATAAGAAAAGTAGTATAAACGTAAATAAAAAACTATTAATAATTAACATTAGATAAAATCATCATGGATAGTTTCTTCGACATTGGAGATGAAGAATAAATTTTTGCAGAAATCAATGAATTATTTCCTATAAGAAGCGAAAAGATAATAATAAGTTTTCATCACCTTTTGAATCAAATAGAAGATGTAATAAAACCTCCATCCATGATGTAAGTAATTTGTTGATTGCTATTATTTAATGTAAAATTCATCAAAATTTTAGTACCTCCTTCAAACCATTTGTTACTGACTCTTCGGTTTTATGCAATAGGTAACATGTTGCTATCCATAACAGATTTTGCAAGAGTGAGTGTACAATTGGCATCTTCAGTCGTTCATCATGTTAGTTGTGCCATTATTGTTTACCATCACATTTTAACATACAATAATACGAGATTCTTCTTTGATGAAATTGGTGTTTCGTCGCATTTTCTCAGTCTCCATTTCCAAATTTTAATTTTATGGTTAGAACAGGTTAGAATATCGTCAAAATACCTAATATGACCACAATTTAACATAATAGACCAAAAAATCCCTAGATTCCTTGATTATCTCAAGGATTTCTTAACTATGAGATAAATGGAGATGGTAGTACGGACGACCCTGTTATCTACGAGATAAATTGTATCTTATAGATAGCTTAACTGATAGATAGCATTGGTTTGGTAGTAACGGGCCTTAGAAGAGTATGAAATAACTAAGAAAATTACTCATTTGGAATAACACTAATCCTTTGCTGGATGCCTGTTTGCTTAACAACAGCACTTAGACACCTCAGCATCGATTCCGCTTTCCGCTAGTTTAGTGGTTAATTGAGGTGGATTGTAGTCCATTCTGTCTTCAACGCTATTTTTAAGTCGATTACGTTTCTAATATCGTAATATTTCAAATTCTTCTTGAATATTAATATAAGATTAAGATCAATAAGATTAAAATCTGGGCTTTGTGATGGTGTTTTGAGGTTCGAATCATTATTCTGTTGAAAGATAAAATCTCGTAAACATTTTTTCTGCACATTGCTCAATTATTTTTTTTTGAAATGTTGATACACCCCTTTGTATTTTCATATAGAGAATGTGCTTAGAACTACCATTTACAGATTTTAGCAATATGCTTAAAACTGCTCCGACATGTCCTACCAATGGGCAATGGAAGACACTATAAGCACTGATACCAGATTGTATTGGTTATTTCTTCTTGCTTCTACCCTGCTCTCTTTACCATTTTTATAGATATTCTCTCTTCCTTCCATTAGCAGGTCCAGCGGTAGCATGCGAGCTATCACCTCTACGCTCGCGGCAGACAATAGCTAATTTTCTGTTAACTGCTTTTCACATGTTTGCATAATGTTTGTATTTCAAGACATGACTCCATGTTGGCGCCGTATACATTCCTGCGGAGATAAAAGTTATCGTTTACTTCCGATCGGCCCACCAATATGGACAACAAACCAAAGAGAGAATACTTAAGGAATGGTTTATGGCTAATAAGCTGATTGTGCTAAACGCCGGTACACCCACAGATAAAGGAGTCGCAGGAAACTCTGTGATAGATTTTACAGCGATAATAGATAATTTGGTCTGCAACATAAGATAACCTCAGTAACCACCACACAATTATATTTGAAATCGCTAAAATGCTGCCTGAAATAAATGTGACACGAATCAAAAAGGGTGGAGAATTACTCAGCCTACTATTGAAAAATACTCAAAGAAGTGTTAAGACCTGTCTGTAGCTGATGTTAACAGAAATTACAGAGAGCATTAATTGATTATGTAATGTTTAAGAAAAAAGTGGCAATCGAATGATGATATAGCGGCCCAAAGATTGAAATGCAACAAGCTCAGCCGACAACTAACAAGATTAAGAGGAAGAAATGTGAGAGATCTACATATGCCAAGAACTGAATGAGGATATCTGGGGGACTGCTTATCTCATAATAACAAATAGATTAAAATTAGCAACAAAACTATTCAAGAAGAAAAAACTGTTTCCTACACATGGTCAGACTAAGTGGAACGAAAAAGAAATGGCTACGGCAAAAATACCATTATTTAGAATGAAAGAGTTGGATGTGGCAATAAAAAAGAATCGGAAAAAAGAATAACATTACACCAGAAATACTATTTCCCAAGGTCCAGAAGACTGCAAAATTGGCATTGATTCAAAAACCAAAGAACGAGGCAGAAGGAAATTGGAGTTAACAACCAATCTGTCTCGAAAATACAATGGCTAAGCTGATGGAGGTGTCGATTTTTTTTTTTCTATATTATGCATAGTACAATTGTATAACACCTAGTAAATACATACATACTAATTAGTTACTTATTTTTAACACTAAATTAAACTAGATAATGTTTTGCAGCTTTTCCCAGTGGTCCAGTCTGCTTTACCCATAATAATAGATAAATATTGTCATATTTTTACCGTTTTAAGACCAAAACACAAAAACGCGCACACTGCGATACGCGGAACACACGTATTGGGTATTATTGTTTTTGTTATAATTCCGCACTATTGCTCGCGTTTGAATCGACTAGGGCACTAGGTCACTAAATCGAACGACTTCATCCTCTGAAGGCGACGCAAGACATCCTCGTTGTCGAGAAGCTGGATGGCCTCGATGTTGGGATGATCGTGCATTCTCTTCTCATGTTTACATGCAAATGATGCAATTTCTGATGACACCGATGCTACTTTCAAGTCGCGATGGAGGTCGGTGTTTCTTATATACCACTATGCACCTTAGTACTTTGTTCTGGAATCTTTGAATCAGACTTGCATTTGTCTTGCAGGTACAACCCCACAGTTGGATTCCGTATGTCCATTTTGGTTTTAATACTTGCTTGTATATTA